TGTTATTACTCACAGAATAAAAGCGTAGGTGCTTATCAATCTAATAGGGACTCAATACCGGAAGGCGCAACCTCACTGCGATTAAAGTGCCCAGGACACGCCCACGCTGCCAGTGGGATGCATCATCCTGCCAAATAACTGGAGAAATCATAAGAATAAAGTCCAGGTATCAAGAGGGCGAGGATGTGGACAAGTTGTCCAGGTGCAGATGATGCGCTGCCACTTTTAGAGGTGAGCAAAGTGGGAAACTGGTGATAATAGATAATAGCTAATGATAATAAATTTGTTGAACAGGTCAAGAGCATTAGGTGTTGAAAATAGAGGCATCTGCATCGATAAGTTTGTTCGCGTTTATTACCGTAAAGAAAAAGGATAAAAAGGCCTTACCTTTGTTCTGTGGGTATTTTCGAGGGTGATGAACTTGCCATTGGGGTCGCATTCAGCAATCGTGACATTTCCCTGAAATCATGTTTTTCACATACTTGCAATAAACTTGAAGAGCACCTTAACATTCTGGGACCGGCACGCGATAAAGACTCATAGTTACGGCTAAATAAGGAGAGTGTTTTGATTGGAACAGGATTTAACAAAGATGTTTGGTTCCATTGGAGTTTTTGCCTTTCAAAAGCTGCAGTGTTGTGGGGACGTCAAAGATGTTGCATTCCTTTGGTTTTTGCCTTCAGAAGCTGCAGTGTTGTGGGGACGTCAAAAGGCACGGCGCAATCCAGAAGGGTTCATCATGAGGAAAATTAGGCGCAACGATATTGGGCATAGTACTCTTTCCACACAACGGCGAAAAGTGTTTATCAAACCCTACCGAATAGCACTGTAGGGCCCTGCTGATGTACATGTCATGTTTTTATGCCATAACATGCCTATCCCGTGCAGCCCGCTGGGGGGGGGGGCGTGTGACAGGAACAACAGATTGCAGATACATAAGATGTGTTTTAGGACCTCCTCTAGAAAAGGTAGTTTACTCTGCAAACGCCGAAGGGCACCAGGTGTTGATAAGGAAAGCTGATTTAGCCATAAGTGAGAACCCATCCAAGTACGCACTCTCTTCGCCTTGTGCTCATGCGAGCTCAGATTGGCAAGAGGACCCACCTATACTATTTGAGGGAGGGTTCTTTCTGCTTTTCACTACTGGGCCACCTACCACCTTGTCATTCGTTGTTGGCCTCCGCTATCCACGATTTTTGATCGAGGGACGTGCCTGGAAGGCTGCTGCTAGATCGCTTTTTGGCGTCTGCGGCTGCCGTTCTATGGGCTTTAGAAAGGAAAGTTCAAATTTTCTCCCTTTTTTCCCCTAGCCCAGGACAATCCCTTCCGCCGCCCACCCACATTGTATGCAGTCCCTTCTCATCAGCAATAAATTCGTTCCTCGTAAAACTTGTCACTACGAGGCCAAAGGT